AGTGGTCTGCATGTACATCTTGTTAACTATTGGGCTGAGAGCCTGCCTCTGGGGGTGCATTTTATTCCAGGCACAGAATGTATTCCAGGGCCATAGTATTGGGAATTTTGCCAGATTTCATCTGACCAGTAATTCTGGTCATTATTGAGGTTTTGGATTTTGTTCCACGTTTTCCCTCTCACTCTATCCAGGATCTCCAGATTTGATTCTTTCCTGAGTGGTTGGCATTGGTAGCCAGGCACCATCTGGTTCTTCTGGTCTTGAGGGCCATCGTGTCCTAGGGCTGATTGCTTGTAAACGCCCTTGTTTTATTTTATTTTATTTTTATTTTTTTGCATTCTTCTTCACTTCTGACACTAGGAGACCATTAGCTGTATCTTAGATGGCTGTCTGAAAGCTTTTAAGACCCCAGTCACTACTCACCAATGTAGGATGTGGAGCAACGCTTTTATGTATTTTGTTGTGCCAATTGAGTCTGGTGTCCCCCAGTACTATGGTCCTGAGACAGTAGATCTATTGGATCTCTCTCCCATAGTGTCTGGTTGTCTGTGAGGGATTACTCTGTCTGTCTTCTGTTGTTTCTGTAAGGACTGCAGGTATTTTGTATCACTGATGTCTGTGCAAGATTAGCCTCAGCTGAATCTATCCTTGGTCTAAAGTATACTTCTGTTCACTGACCCCCGTCTGATCATCTCAGGTGTTTATGTGTTTATCTGTATAGCCTGGTGTTTGGTGTTAATGGCAAATTGCAACCCTCTTCCTCCTCTCATCTTACACTTCCCTGTGTTTATTTCTGCCCCTATGGGGCAGTTCTAGTCAGTCACAGGAGGTCATCATAAGTCACCATCAACTTCTTGGCACACAGTTATAACACAACAACAGAGCATGTAACACCTTCTAACATACCACATGATCCATTAGTTTAGAATGTCAGCATTAAAAGGGCAGGGACTTTAGTCTGTTTTATTCCCTGCTGTACATTGAGTGCCTGGCAGAGTCTGGCACACAGTAGGTATTCAAGGTGTTCAAGTTATTGAATGAACCCTCATTCTGTGCCACAACAGCCTCACCTGCCCACGCTGTCCATCACTCTGTCTCCAGCTCTCATCCATCACTCTGTCAAGTCTCTCCCTTTCTTGGATGGGTCTCCTTCCCTCTAGTGCATGGGGCTGCCCAGGCAGAAATGGGTCTGATGCCCATTCATTGGCCCTGGCACCCTGGCTCCAGGAGCTGGGACTCAGGATGCTGCTGCTGTTTCTCCTCTGTGTCTTTGGGAAGTTGGAAGGTGGCCATTCCTGAGACTGTGGGTGTCCCACTGTGAAGGACCCACATGATCCTGGGGAGGGGAGAGTGATGCTGTCCTGAGGCAGAGATGGTTTCTGTGTGCAGAGGAGCATTCTCAGCAGCTGTCCCTGCGTAGCATACTAGCTCTGGGAGGCCGTGAGCTCCCTGTGCCCAAACCAAACAACCAAACCCATTGCCATCGACTCATAGTCAACTCACAGCAACCCCCATTGGGTTTCCAAGACAGTAAATAGAAGTAGATTGCCCTGTCTTGCTTCCGTGGAGTGGCTGGTGAACTTGAACTGCCAACCTTCTGGTTAGCAGTCAAATGCCTTAGGCACTGCACCATCAGAGTCCCTTGTGCCCAGAGGAGTATAAATAGAAGCTGGGGACTAAGCGTGTAAGGGGATCCCTTACTACTGGAGGCCACACTGAATCCAGAGCAGTCCTTCCAACTTAGACTCATACTGACTCTGTGAAAAACCATGAAGTCCCCCAATTGCAACATTTGTCACATGCTACTTTCTAAAGGACACACCAGTGTCTGTGTTGCATTCTCTGTACCACCCTCCCTCTCCAACCCTCATCTCCCAAGCACAGAGGTCCCTAAGGGCAGAAGCTGAGCTCAACTCCCATATTTAGCTCCTACTGCCAGAGCCCAGAAGCCACACTGGGCTTCATTCCACAAATAATTGAGAAGCTCCAATTATGAATTAAACTGTGTGTCCTCAAATATGTGTCAGAATCCTAACCCCTAGATCTGTGGGTGTCATGTTGTTTGGAATTAGGGTCTTGAATGTTATGTTAGTTACACCATACCTCAGCAGGGTGGGCTCTAAATCTAATCACTTCAGAGTTATAGAAAGAGCACTTTAGACACACACACACACACACA